TTGTTATTGTTATTATTATTATTATTATTACTACAGTTACTATTAATACTATTATTGTTGTTCATCGTCCCCCAACGTTCTGGCGTTTGTCGTCGTCATCATCTTCTTCAAGTTCATCATCATCATCATCATCGTCATCATCGTCATCAGACACTTCTATTAGTATACTTGTTGCTGTGCACCTTTGTCTCTGTCTCTGTCCTTCTGTCTTTACCCCTCTATGCCTCTCTCTCTCTCTCTCTCTCTCTCTCTCACTCTCTCTCTCTCTCTAACCCCAACTGGTCTAGGCAGACGGCCACCCACCTAGAGCCGGGAGCTGTCCGTCTGCTTGCTCATGGTGGGACCTGTTGGGTCTCTGTGAATAATTATATAAAGAGTACAGTCTAGATCTACTCTATCTGAAAAGTGTCCTGAGATAACTGAATTGAATTGAATTGAATGCTACAGGATGTAGACTGTAACACACTCCCTGATACTTTCTATAAGAGATCATCTCACATCCCGTCTGCTTTTCAGTTCGCTACTTCAGGCTGTGGCCGACAACAAACATGCCCAATCGTTTATGAAAATCTTGATATTGATTTGGGGTCAATGACATGGCTGATAGCTAGCTAGTCTTGTCTACTGTCAAATCATATTTACTGTTTGCCGGCCGTATCCAGTGTTATTGACTTGCCAGCATAACGTTAGCTCTCTGGCTTGTAGCTGAGCCAATGGTTCGTATTTTCTTGAGTAGTGAACAACATTTCCATTGCATTAGAATCTTATGGGATGGTTATGATTCTTCCAGGCATTAGGGAGGACCTCAGGTGTTACCAGGAAAATGGAGTTATGGCATGTAGGGGAGAGTGGGGTAAGATGAGCCATTTCTCATATTTAGGATCACTACATCAAGGCAATCATAGTTTTGTTGCTAACTAATATATCTGCATATATTTCAGGATGTTGTGCATCGCTTCAAACAAACAGAATGAGTGTAAACATAACTGTTTTGATAATATAGCATGTCCAAAAAAAGTGGTCTCGTGGCTCAACGTACCCCGTGTATGGGGTACGTTGAGCATAGGACCGGGGTAAGTTGAGCCGTATCCCTACTCCCCCCACCCTCCTCCCCACCTCCACCCCACCCCTCCCTCACCTTCTCCCTCCCTAAATAACACTCACTGCTTCACATTCATGTGTATTTTTATTTATTATGCACAATTCAACAGGTACAATAACTTTTTTTATTATTATTATTGCATATAACTGCTGAACAGCTGTTTTGTAAAAAGAACATTTTAACATGAGAATGCATTAAAGTGCGCTTAGGAAGAGAACATTAACAGCTGTGTTTTTGGAATATACACAGAATATGTTTTTGGATACACTTATTAAGTGTATTTTGGCTGTAGCCACCGGCTCAACTTACCCCTGGCCAAATGGCTCAACTTACCCCAGAGCTACCATTTTGTCTTTATTAGTCCCCACAGTTAAAATTGTGCACTTTTATGCTAGGTTTATGAGCTCATATTGTAGCTCATAGATACCACAACTGATGTATAAAACAAATTTAAAATTATCTATTTTGGTCTAAACACAATCATCATGAAACTTATGATAGACTAAATTCACTTTCAAGAGTGAAAAATGATTTTTTGGAACTAAATATCTAACCACTTTACCCATGTGGTTCTTACATTCACAGACTTCATGAAATGATGCCTTCCTCCTAAATATTTGGTCACATGATCAATGTTTTTTTACCATTTCCTAGCAACAAGGGGTGGCTCAACTTACCCTTTGGCTCAACTTACCCCACTCTCCCCTATATATTTTTAAATTATTTTTATGGTTTGCTAAGTGACCATGGTATAAGCAGGTTAATGCCCTTCAAGTTGTCCATAACTGGGAATCGGGAACTGTCTGATGCGGTTCTGGCCTCCATGTTGTCCATTAATTCCTGATAATGGACACCTCGTCATTATCCCCTACATGTGCTACCTTAGCACCTCATGCTTTCTGCAGCTACTGAATCTATAGCAGTAACAGTTACATAATCTTATTAACATATATTAATGTTAATAAGCATTTTATAATGCTTATTAGAAGCATGTTAATATAAAGTGTTAGCATAGGTTTCCACAGTGTTAGTTGCACATAGTCAATAAAAGAATACAGGTGTTTATTGTTTATTACCCTTTAGCTTAACTTGAGTATTTCTTAGTGATTATGATGTACTGCATGTAATTCCAGTTTAAAAATCATTATGTGCTGTTGAAATTTATTTTAACTCACCTGTTTCCCTCCCCCCTGTAACCACGCTGTCTGCTGTTGGTGAGCTTCACCTTTTGACCACAGGGGGTCAGGATTGGCCACTGTATGGATGTGGATCAGCTCTACTTAAAAAATAGGAAAGAATTGGTTTGATTTCGTATGTACACATAACTTTAAGACCCTGTTCAAAATAAATGAAAATGCTGAAAAATATTTTAATAACTACCCACTTCTTTGAATGGAAAATATCAATATGGTGTAAATCCTGACACTTGAATTTTCAAAAAAAGCTTTTTGCTTGAAAAAATAAAAAAAAAACACAGAAAAAAAGAAAACAACCCAAAACTGTTGAAATGTTTAGCAATCATTAATTCATTAATAGCATAACTGAGTTTGAAATTAACATGTTAATTAACAAGTTATAACCCCACCCAGCGGCCCCGACCATCACCACACACACCTTAACTGCTTTTTACAGGTTTCCATGATGTATTGTATTAACATTACTTACATCATCAGCATTATTAATGCTTTCATTTATTCATTTCAGATAAGTTTGCTGTATCTATATGGCACTGACAAAACAACTCTCATTAATGAAAACGAGACATCAAATTATTTTTTTCTCTCAAAATAAGCTTTTTTTTTTTAAGAAATTCTAAATCACTTCTTATCAGATTTTTTAATTAGCCTCTAAACAGATAAACCAACATTTTGTACAGGAATTTATAGGTCTTCCTTTTTTCTTTTGTAAATAAAAATTTAATCTGAGAGACTTTTCCTTTAGACATGTGGGTGGATATACTGCATACCTCATTGTTGTCTCAACAATTATTCTTTTATTATTTTTTTAGGCTGATATTATCTATTTAAAAAGCTTTTAAACACTATTATAGACTGGTATGATTTAATAAGGTCGACTCTAATGCTTTTCTATTGTTTCTTATATTTTGTTGTATTTATCTACGTTTGATTGTTGAATGGTAATTTGGGGTTGTATATGCTCTCTTTGCACCTATTGTATTGTCTGGTATTGTATTTTGTGACGCACATGCTAACTCTGGCGCTTTATTTATTTATTTATTTATTTATTTATTTATTTATTGAACGATATGCTCCTTTAAACGCCGATTATGCAGTGTAAAATAGTGTTGGTTTCCTGTGCTGGAGAGGCAGCAAGGTTTCACTAATATACTCATCAACCTCCGTATTTACAAAAATAATAACTTTATATAAGTGGGACAATAATCAGTGAGCTGAACCTGACCTGCCGATCTTTCACTATTTAATTTCCCGTGAAGCCTCCTCCCTGCGTTCCCTCTATCTGAGCGCAGCGCGAACAAAAGAGCGCAAGAAGCTGATGAATGTCGCTTTTTATTGCTTTCCGCACACAGCTGATCTCAGGCCTGCTGGCAGAGGACTGATCAGTCTGAGGCGGTTAATATGAAACTGCCGGATATCGTCTCCTTTTTATAGAAAGAGTGTGATCTTATCAGTGGCTTATATTTAATATGAATCTGCGCAGTGGGAGCAGTCCGGAGGAAAGTTGTGGCTCTTTATGCAGATGATAAATCAGTCTGCAGATTGAATCTGAGCTCATATGGACAGACTGAGCCTTTATTTTAATATTCTAGACAACATCAGTAAAATGCAGAGATATGGAATGATGCGTTCAAAGGATCCACAAGAGCTGTATGATTTCCATATGATATCATAAAATCTCCTGAATAATAATTTTACCTTCAATAAAACGTTTTCACCAGCAGAATATAGACGTATATTATTATACACACTTATTATACACACAGTGTGGGCCAGAACGTCATGAGTCCTAGTTCACAAGCACATCTTCATCCTCCAGTGTTTTTCAAGTTATTTACATTTTCCATTTTAAAAATTCCATTAAATGTTAAATAAATGATATATTTATATATTATATTATTATATATCATGATTCCCAACACACAAGTATAAATCAGTGCCCAACAAGTAAATGCTTCCACTAGCAATAAACTGGTGGAAAAGGGATTATTCCTTTATTTTTAATGTCCTAAACGTATAGTCAAAAATTCTAAAATATTGGAATGAGTCTGTAAACAGGGGCAGATCTAAAGGGTTGGCATCATTTTCAAGTTTAACAGATTGATTAAAAAAATAATGTGTTTAGAAAAATGTCTGGAGATTCGAAAATGTATTCTAACAACATATTGATTTCTAATGCCTCCTCTAGATATTTCTAATTAGTGCTTTATTAATGTGCCACAAAAACGTTTCTGAGTTGAAATCTCTTCATTTGGGGGCTCTTCAAAGCAAGCAAATAAGTGATTGTTTGTGGTTAAATCAGCAGATATTTCAGACATCCCTTAAAGTCTCCATGCCACCTTAGATTATTCCTTTATTTTGAAAGTCCTAAAATTAGTAAGACTGAAACTAAAAATACTGGAAACCTCTTGTAAGCAGAAAATGACCTCAATGTCATCACGGCCCTGCTGGAGGACAACGTTTTAAAGGAGGCATTAACGGTGTGGAAGGGCTTCTTTAAAACCACCAGGTTCAGTCTCTGCTGTTGAAGTGCGTGCGGATATCTGGTTTCTAACAGCAGCCTCCGGGACGCGGACTCACTGTGCAGCCTCTCGGGGAGGCGGATCCATCCAGACTGCAACGCGGTGGAGAAAGTGGTCTGTGGAGGGCTGGGGCGGGAGGGGCAGGGGGAGGGTTTCTGTTTCCACTGCTCCCTCTTTGAGAGGAAGTCTCGAGCTCAGGATGGCACATCGAGTTCAGGACTCGCGGACCCTTTTCACTCCGCGCCTGTGGATTTACATCAGCTGATGGTTTTCCTCCTCTGTGGGTCTTGCTTGGAAACTTGGTTTCAACTTTGCGGATTTTACGCACTGGTTTTATCCCCTGCTGCCGCAGACTGTAGAGGATCAGCGAGCACACACGGTCCGGGATCTGACGGTGCTGCAGAGCGGTTTAAAGATGCTGAACGACATTAAGATAGAGGACCGTCTGCGGACTGATGCGAGCTGTCTGGACGTTCTTAACGGTGAGTTTATCTCGTGCTGAATCCGGTTTGAGATCAGTGTGAACAGAATTCAGTTTAAGGTTTGAAAAAGTGTAACGTTTTTTTGAAAATCTAAGTCTAATTTTCCATTGAATTCTTGTTTTTTTTATGTATTAATTTCTACCCACCATTGCTAGAACCCAGTTCACAAATATTGTTTTTAATTATATAATTAACTGTTATATTTAGGGTATATTGTTTTACTGTTTTCTTTTTTTCTAATGTTAAATGTATCCGATTTTTGATTTTTTTTAAATCAAGGCCACTGTTAAAAGTGGCAAAATGCATTTGAAGAAAGATAAAGAGTATAATTAAGGACTATTATCATATACCATCTCAATAAAAACAGTACTGTGTAGGAGTTATTGTTTTGTTGCAATTATTTATGCCTGTTTAAATACAGAATAATTTTTAAAAAATCAGTTTTTACTGTTCATACAGTTCTTTACTTTAAACTGCATTGAGCGTGTTAATTCATTCTTACAAATGGAATTAGGAAGTGTTCTCAGGTGTAAATGAGTGCTTATAGTGAAATATAATAACTGATGTTTGATGTCGCCATAGTGACTGATATACAGTGAGACTGGCCACATAAAGGCCACATTGGTGCACATTTGTGATGTTGCTCCTCATTATATTATAAAGGAGGGCAAGAAAGAAATGAGGGGGAAATATAAAGCGGATGGGTAAATATCAGGTTCTGTATTGTTCCTTTTATTTACTGTATGACACAGTCAAGGGGAAATTCGAGGTGAAAGCCTCTGTTGGGGCTTTGTATGAGTTTTGTTTTCTCTCTGTGAAACACAAAAAAAAATGTAAAATACTCACAGCCACAGTTAAGTTTTATTTGTTGGTGTCTGCAGACCTGTGTCTGAAATGCCGGCCTCAGTTTGTTGAGCTTACACCGTTAAAGAACGGACATTTTAAAAACAGCCCTTTTCACAAATTGGGACTCTCCATGTTATTCTCGATAGCCTGATCCTCAGAGCTCAGTGTGAGCACTGAGTTCTCATACCCAAGAAATAGACCAGTCCCCATTCCTCGTCCCTGGTGAAACTGAATCTTGTATAGTTTTGTACTAATTCAATTAATTTATAAATACTATGATACAACTAATGAATACCAATGCGGTTTAAACAAACATATAAGTCAATATACAAACAAGCAAATAAAGGAGAAACAAAAAATATCAAAAAGAGAAACAAATCAAATCCGGAGATAAATGTATAAGCTGTAATATAATATCTATATAATGACGTTATACCAAATGCTAAATGCATGACAGTTATGGCTTTTGCTTTCATTTGAATGGCCAGCATTATTTATAGCCTATTTATTACTTATTAAGAACACATTCCATTTATTAATAGCAGATAAAACAACCAATCGGTTGTTTTATGTCCAATAAATGTTTTTTATAAATGTATTCAATAAATGTATTGTTTTAGGTCCAATAAATAACCACGTACTAAATCCTAGTAACAAAGGACAGTCATTGTAAGAGTCAGTATTTTTTATGAATGAATGGTTCATCTAATCATGTTAGATTTTAGGGGCTCAGTAGTATATTTCTATATAAATATAAATATAGGCCTATCCTTAGGTTTAATTGGACAGGACAGGGAAGGGGGTGAGAGAGGGGAGAGGGGAGGAGAGCGAGCTAAGTGCCACAAATCAGACTGGAATCCAGGACCTCTGAAGCCAGGGTTCACACTCAGTTTGGTTAGTAGTAGAAGTTTTACCTTTCAAACGGACCCTCAGAAAACAGTGTCTGACCTCGTGCTGTAGCCTATATCGCACGTGCACATAAGACCAACGGTTACTTCCGTCTGTCACGCTTTGAATGTCTGTCCTCCTCTCAGCAACCGGTCACTTTACAGTGTGTCTGACGCCGTTCTCCCCCCCCCTCTCTGTCTCACTCTCAGGTGCTGACTCCCCCCAGCAGGCCGTGTGCGAGGGCTGCACGCGGATCATCTCAGACCGCTTCCTGATGCGGGTCAACGACGCGTCCTGGCACGAGGAGTGCCTGCAGTGCGCCGCGTGCCAGCAGCCGCTCACCGCCACCTGCTACTGCAGAGACTCCTCACTGTACTGCAGGGCCGACTACCAGCGGTGAGACCGTGCTCCTTCTTACACCTGCTGCTGGGGCTCACTGGGCCATTCACGGCGGAATGTGTTCGCTGGTGGTGGAGGGACAATGTTAGCAGCCGATTATTAAAAAAGCCAAAAAACAAAGCACGTTGAAGCCGTCTCTGTCGTTATAGCCCTGCCTTTGTTAATTTAGTCTCAATTTATTAGTGTTTCGAGTTAAACGATGTCCCTACAGTGTTCCAGTTGGGGCGCACAGGTGTGGCAAAAAATGCCTGGACACCCAGGCCCTTAATTTAGATACATTTTAATGATAATGATTTTAAAAAGATGATAGAAAAAATACATTAAAGAAAAAGATTTCTATATGACATCATGAAATCTCCCAGGGTTTACCCAAGGTGCCAACTACAGGGGAGCCAGGGGGAGCTCAGCACCTCTTCATATGTCACGACCCATTGGTTGACTGTGTTAATTGGAGGGACTTCCTGGATGGACTGCAATATGCTATTTCTGCCATGCAGTTCTATTTTTGGATTATGTGTAAACATACAATTCATGTTTGATTTGTGCACTAGGGTGACACATCACTAATGCTAACCCAACTAAGGATCATTTTATGCTTGCCATCACCCCTGAAGCTCCAATATCATTAACTTCAGATCAGAAAATATATCCCCCCACAACACCCTGAAAGCTGTGGTATAGTGCACATAAAACGTTTTCACTAGCAGAATATAGACCTATATTATTATACACACAGTGTGGGCCAGAAAGTCATGAGTCCTGGTTCCCCAGCACACCCCTTACCCCCTTTTAGAAAATTCTGACTAAAGATTAAAAAGTCTCAAATTCTTTTGTAATGATGTAAAACGTTTTATTTTATATATTATTATGTTGTAAAATGCAGTTAATGAATCTTAATTACCAACATGTATGAATCAGTGGTAACCAACCAACCAGGGTCTGTACCAGTCTTAATGCTTCCAGTTTCAGCAATAAACAGTTGAAACAAGAGACAGACTTGCTATGCAACATTACATTATTGAAATGAGGATTTTAGGATTAAAAAACACTACACTAAAATAATGGGTAAAATTGGCATTATTTAGGATATTATGTTAATTTCTTATTATTTAATTTCATGATGATTTTTTTTATTGGTGAACATACACGTAGAGCCTGTATTTGATATGGTTCTTTGCACATACACAAAATAATGAGTATTAAAAAATGAATAAATGTCAAATATATTTCAGCCCAGATGGAGGTAAAACAGCAATTGAGTATCATCCATCACATGTGAGTCGAGATAATGGCTCTATGAAGGCTTCCTAGGTCTTCCGAAACACAGCGAGTATTTTCCTTACACTCTGGAGGATCTCTATTAGTGCTATTGGTGCTATAGTCTCCATTCTTCATAATGACTGTAGAAAAATAAAGGCAGTTAATTTATACCTTTTATTTTAATTGGACATATACATTTGATGACAGATATTCATTTTGTAATTCATAAAATCTGAATTGTAATGATCTAACCATTTAGTTCTGGGATGCTGATTGGAGGTTTTTTTTTAATGACTGCATGAAACATAATTGACCGTCATGTGTAGGATTAGTTATAGAGTCATTGGATGTGAATGTGAGCTTTGAAACAAATATGCATTATTATGGTATGTAGCTAATAAACTGTACATATCATCAGCAGGGGCAGATCTATAGAAATTGATGTGGGGTCCAGAAGGTGGCATGGAGTCTTTAAGGAGTGGCAGAAATATCTGCTGATCTAATCACAAACATATATTTTAATATTTGCTTGGAAAAGTCCCCAAATGAAGATATTTGAACTCAAAAACATTATTGTGGCATTCTTCCAAAATGTATACTTAGTCTAAAATGTGGCCATAACAGATCATTGAATTAATTTAAATTTTTTAACATGCACATTTGACAGAATTTGATAGCAAACCTATAGTGGCTGCTGGGATGGCCACAGCCACTATATGCCTCTAGATCTGCTCCTGAATACTACATTAGCTGCACCACGATCACTTGGGCCATAACTTAACTAGTTTAACATAAAAGCAAGTGGCCAAACAACAAGTTCCATGGTGATGGTTACTGTGCGCATTAGCTTTATGACTAGCATGAGCCACTTGGCATTGTAGCATATCGTATTAAGCTAGATTGATGTTGACATATCATATCAATAAATTATGTATCTACAGGATGAATGTGTTGCGACAGATGAATGGATGAGGATGCAACCAATACTGCTGTGTGGAAGAAAACTGCTGTTTTACCATTAAGTATAATTCTATGACATTTTTATAATTTACACTAGCCAAGGGGATGTGTAACTATTTAGTTGTTGTTAGTTTTTCTCCGCGATGCAACTGCTTTTGTTTTAGTAATGCATAAATCACAACTGATAATTTACATTATAACCAGGCTAAGTTTGCATTTACTCACAGCTGGTGCAACAGGCTGCAGGTCATCAGAATGAGGTTGTGCACAGTTGCAGGTTATCACACAATAGGACTGAGTGGGCCTCCACAGACTTTATTGCGCAAGTCAAAGAGTATAACAATTAATAAGAAAAGTCATAGCACCCAGGTACTAGTGATGTGTCTTTGTGAACGTGTCGGCTCCTTTAAATGAGCGGTAAGAGCGGACTCCAGTTTATTTTTAATTTCTTTCTTTTTTTAATTTTCTTATAAATTAATACAAGAAAATAATGTAATAGCCCTATAACATACTTGTTAAATACAATGCAGAAACATTTTACTTTGGTAATAACATAAAGACTCCAATATAATGTAAATGTAAATGATAAGATTTCATATAATTATATTGAATAATTTAGGTGATATATGTGCTATAATTGTAGGTGGAAATATTGCTGAACTTGGCTAAATTATAAAAGCCAGAAGTAGTACTAAAAGTGCAGTCTGGGAGCTGATCTGATGTGACTCACTAAAAAGAAGAAGAATCCCGATTGCACATGTGAACAGTTTTGTTAGCAAACTGTGGGAGAAGATGTGTATCAAAAGGGCCTTTCAAAAGTGCAAATTTTATTAAAACACAAGAAACTCAATATAGGAAAAGCATATTAATGACAATAATTGTTTGCGATACATGTGAGCAAAAACAGAGTAGGAGAATAAAAAGGTGTGTGCAATCACACTAACCAGAAATCTTTGCAGATAGCAGCTTGCTGTGTTTGATGTGGTTTAACAGTCCTGTGCTGTTGGAGGGGGTACCCTGCAGCTGGGTGGTCTCGCCTGTTGTATTGAGGTTTCTCTCCAGACAGCTTGGGCAGCGCGCTGACAGCGGGCCGTCTGACTGTCAGATCATCTCTCTGCTGGGTTCCTCTGTGAGCCTGTCTGCTCTTCTTAAAGAGCCTTTGTCCAATCATCGAGCTTTAAACGCTCACTGCCATGTGTCACCACTGCACGCTGGAGGTCTGCTCAACTACAATGGACGACATGCACCTCGCATAACATTACACTGCAGAGACATTCAGCAAGAACAGTGAACTTCGTAGTGCAGGGCCAGCATGTAGAGAGATTGACCTCATTAGCTGTGACAGAGATTCTGAAACGTTTTTACAGTGAGGTTGCTTATTTGTTGATGTTTCAGTTTGTTGTTTCTTTAATATCATCTTAAAATCTTAAAGCTCCCCTCCAGTCAGAAATCAGTGTTTCTTCTTGTTCCTACAGTGTGATGTTTGAATGCTGTCTGTGCAGAGTTTGACAGTAGAAGGATGTTTTCACATTCATCTGCTGTGGAAAGTTTCTCTGTGCTCATTGAAAATCTGATTTTAAGGGGCGGGCCTACGAGTGTGATTCCTGACATCACAAATAGTTTAGAGGTCAATCCTGGTCCAGTATGCAACTTGTACAGTATGATGTAGAAACTTGAAGCCACCAGTGCACATCCACTGAGAATGGACTTTACAGTGAAGTAGGAGACATCTTGTATTCAGCAGGAAATGACATTTGCATATTCAGAGATTCTGAAAGTTTTAATGAGGTAGAAGGAATAGATGACTTTTAAGGGTTTTTATGTGGAAATTAAGCTTTCATTTTGTGGAAAAAACATATCAGACACAAATTATCGTTCCAAACAGACTATTTGTATATGTCTTAAAGCTGCAGTAGGTAATGGATTCTTGCAAATAGCCTTAGGAACACTAGGAGGAGCCAGAGGAACCTTATTTTTTCACAGATTATTTGTCTCATTTACTACTGTCAGGATGTAGTTCAGCTACAAAGCCTCAGCAAATATGCAGCTTTAATTATAAGACCTAACACCAAGAAATGTTAAAAAAAAAAGTGAAATAAAATAAATAAATAAGATTCATTTAAATAAAATTTACCAATCAAGTCCGGAGAGCAAATGCAGTAAGAAGCACACAAAAGGAGAGTCGAAATCATGTGTTTTAAAGCTTGATCTCCTAATTTCAGAGTCAAGGGGCCCTGCTGGCCGAGTCTTAGTCTCATCTGGTTTTTAGTCTCAACCTGGGAACTACTAACAAAGACCTAGCGGATACACTCAGGCTCATATGTGGTCAGCAGGTCAGAAATAAAGCCAGGAGGAAATCCCACATGGGTCTTTAAAGGTGATCATTAAAATGTTAAACTGGACTCTGAAACATACAGGAGGCCTATGATGTCACCCTGAGCCAGCTGGATTTAGCTAGATTGCAGAGTCCCTAACATCTACTAGAGATGAAATAAAAGCACAGATGAGTTCCCAAGTGCTTTGCAGATAAAATGGATGTTGTTTTTTTATATTGAGATAGTCCAGGAAGCAAGATTGGTTCACTAAATTCACACGTCAATCAAACTTAAGCTTGATTAAAACAACACCAACATTTTACCAAGAGCAGTGGTGTGAAATGTAGATTTACATGAATATCTGTTTTTATTATAGTGAGACATTGGCAGCCATTGTTAATATAGTAGTAGCTAATAGTCCTTAGCGCAGCAGCCTGGGTTTGATTCCAACTTGTGGTCCTT